GCCCCCCCCCCCCCCCCCCATCTCTCTGATCTGCTACAACCGTATGTCCCACCACGCTCCCTGAGGTCAGCGGACCAGTTGCTCCTCACAGTTCCAGGAACTCGTCTTAAGCGCAGAGGTGACAGGGCCTTCTCTGTAGCAGGACCAAGACTTTGGAACGAGTTACCTCTGTTTGTCAGACAGGCCCCCTCCCTCTCGGTTTTCAAGTCCCGTTTAAAAACTCACTACTATTCAGTAACTTTCAACACCAGAGGATCTGTGTTTTGATCCTGTATGCTCCACACTGGTTTGTCGTCATTATCTGCATCGTTTTTATGTCTATATTCTGATTTACCTCATTTTGTATTTTGCTTTGTGTGTTACCTATTGTTCTGTCTGTACAGCCCTTTGGTTGGCCTTGCAGCTGTTTTAAGTGCTTTATAAATAAAGTGGTATGGTATCTGCAGGTTTTGGAAAACTAGATTTTGCAAGACTCGTTTAAAATAAGATTCAAAAACACATTCATATCTGCATTGTTTTATAAACAAAATCTAAGCTGGGTTGGGATGAAATATGCTAAAGAGAAGCATTTATAGAGTTGTGGTTTTGCTTTGGGCCAAACTCAAAATATTTCAGTTCACTGTCTATTTTTGGTTTGTTTGACAACAGGCTCGTTTTTCATTCCTTCATTCAAACTTTATTAGTTGGGAAGTTAGAGAGTTAGAATTAGATAGAGAGGAATAACATAAAGTGGATGACATTCACACATCTTTCTATAATTCACACATCTTTCTATAATTCCTGCAGTCTCATTTCGTGTAGCTACTGTCCCTGTTAGCAAATCACATATTTGCAGCCATGATGCTAACACTCACGTCTTTAGCCGCCAACTTCCTTTTCACTTCGTCCACTAAAAACAGCTCCATTCCGCTCCCAGCGGTGCAGAAATAACGAACAGCACTGTCATTACCTCCTGTTTCAGACATTATTTTGCACAAAAAAAACAAAACAACCTAATATGTTTTATTTTTAATTCGTGAGGCTACGAGAAGTTCTTTTAAGTTCGCTTAAAATTTACTGTGAAAGACGGATGTTTACACCGGAAGCGGAAATACGTCATTAAGATAAATCCGGTAGGCCAGTAGGGGGCGCCCATATATATTATAAATCCACTACTTGCAAGGACTTCATACAAATTTTAATCTTTATAAAATAATGAATGAATTATTATTTATGCCATTTGTGCAAATAATCTATTAAATTTTTATGTTTTTGTAAATAATGACATTTTAATGCAATGAAGGAAGCCAATGGAAAGCAAGCAATGCAGTTTACGTTAACCTTCCATGACATTTTATATCTACTGACTGATCAAGTGAGTAAACGTTCGCATTGTTGTTGCAGTGTAGTGCTTTTCATTGAAAAATTAAGATTCAATTTGTCATTCACATGGTTTTGCATCAAAGTGACAGCTATGTGAATGATAAATAATCTAAACCTCAAACTCGCCAAAATACCAACATGATTGGATCTAATGTGGCATATAAAGGAAGCAGGTCAGATCTACAGAGACACCCAAGACCAAAAAAAATGCACGAGTGGCCATTTATCTTGGTGGCAAATGAGGACGTATTCAATTTTAGACAGATGGTCAAACTGTTGTTTTCCGCTTTGGTTTCTTTTTCAGTTTCTCAAATATATTCATTGAAGATTTTATTTCCAAATACATTACACACAATGGATATTCACACAAACACAGTTCTTGCTGCTTTGATCTAGACAGAATCATTGTTCTCTTCTACTACAGTATGTAGTTGAAGGGCATAGAGGCTGCTCTGAACAGGTGTTTCCTTAAACTTGGTCAGTTTTACAGTTACTGAGCTAAAACCTGATAACGCCATTCACAACACATATACTGTAGGTACTCTGAGTAACATCTTGAAATGTTTTACAATAGTACTATGTTTTCTAGATTTGACCAAATGAGATACAACTCTGTTGTTTTCAACATAAATTTACATTTTAGCTCCAAACTCTTGACATGATGGCAACATGCGTTCCTTCACAGAATTCTCAGACCTCAGTTTGGTACTCCGTTTGAGAACTGTTCATTTTCCCAGCAGACCTTTATTACACAATTTAAAGGCGAAAAAATAACTTGACATGTTTACGTTATATGCCAATAAACAACAAGTTTCTAAAGTATGACTTTGCTATTTTTGAGTATAAAGTACTTACAATGATCTTTGTAGAATCCAGGCTTTTTATAGTGAAAAACACTGAACACGTCATGGGTTACTTAATTACACCCCACTGTCTCATGGTCAGAACTTGTGATGCAGACGCAAGCATTATTGGTCCATGACGGATGATAGTTAGATTACAAGCTGAATTTATGAGCCTTTTTCCTAACAAACCAGAATTAATGCTTAAATTTATCCTGACTTTAATCAGCTCACACTGTTGGACATCCATGTAGAAAGGAGACATTAATATTTTCCCAACAGCTGTCATTTGCAATAATGAGCTTCACCGCTGATAAGTGAACACAGCAGCTTCACAAAATTAATGCTACCACATCGGTCAAACTTTGATCTATTACTGTACATTAAGCTTGTTTTTATTCTCCTCCACACTCTGTGGATGGCTGGAGGGAGGTGGGGGATAACGAAAGTGGAGGGGGAGCGATGAAGAATGCACAAGCTGGAGGACAGAAAAGAGGAAAGAGCAAAAGCCATGACCAAAACAATAAAGAAAAGAATACATGCATGCGTAATTGGCGTTTATGACACACAAAAAATTTATCTTTGAGTCACAATTTCATGCATTTCACTGATTAGTGCAACTTTTGGTGCATGTGTGGCAGTGTTGAGCTTCATTGGCTGAGCATTCCAGAGAAAACTGCTGCTGAAACTGCAAACAGTTCAGTACAAATACCAGTACAGAGAGTTTGCATAAATACAGACACATGCTCAAAACCAGGTTACTTCTTGATGCTACAAACATTAAGAGTCAGAGAACCACTTCATCATTAAAACTGAGGCAATTTGTTATTTTAATGCACGCGCAATGGTATAGACTGTGATGCTCTTAATAGAAGACTGTGTTGTCCATCCATCCATCCATCCATCCATCCATCCATCCATCCATCCATCCCTCCATCCATCCATCCATCCATCCATGGACCATCAATAAGTTCATTAAAAAAAATTGGGGGAGGGGGGTTTGTGTTTGGGTTCTGCTTATTGCATTTATGATTCAATGCAATAAAACAAACACATTTAAAAGGTAACAGATCATTGTAATACTTGGTTTATTTACATAATGACTTTAATCGCTGGATGTCCGTCCCCTGAGCTGCTGACTTTCAGTAACTGTGGCCCCCTGAGCAGTTTAGTTGAATAACCTTGTTATACAGAATTACACACATTCCTAAATGTTGGGATACAGCACACAGTTTGTACAAGTCATTGTATTTTCAGTCAGCGCTGAGCCGGTCTTGCAGTTTTTCCATCCAACCAAGCAAATATAAAACTGCTTGCCTAAATTGACCACACAAGGACCTAAAAAAAGAGAAAAATCCAGATGCAAAGTGATATGATGTAAACATTTAGTGAAACATTCTCTTGAACTGCTATGAAATGTTTCACGGTTTGAGTTGTTTAAGATATTAGAAACTTGCTGAACAGGTTGCGCTCTACTCCTCTTAGCTTGACTCTCACTCATAAACTTCTTCTAGATTCTCCAAAGAGTTTGACTGCTGTCTTCAGCAGGTAAGGTACTCCTTATAAGTGCTCCACAACTCCAATAACAAAACAGCATCAAAACCCGGGTGTCTTTTTAAATAACATATGGTATCAGGTCATGTTTTGTGGAGTCCCTCTATGAATGTGTCAGAGCTGTTCACAGTATGGCATTTAGGTTGAGACTTTTTTCAGTGTTTGTCGTCCTCTGTTGAGGAGCAAAGAGGAGTAATTAGACATATCTTCTGTCTGTCCATCCTTGCTAGAGCTGTCATTTCTAACCCGGGCCCAAAGTTTGTCCCGACCTGACCCAAATTTGGGGCGGGCCAGGCCATAATAATGTGCTGGATGGGCAGGCCGGGTCGGTGTCGAGCTTTTGATTGGGTCGTCTGATTAGTCGTAATCCAATTATATGGTAACATGGCATGCCTAACCTGCTGCACATGGCCATTTCACTGCGAGCTGACCGGTCTTGAAAGAGGTAAATAGTTCTGTTAAACTTCAGATGGGACTGTACTGCCAGGACGTGATCAGGGGACGCGCGCGGTCGATGACCCATACAGGTGAGATCCCAAAGCAGACGTGTCAGAGCAAAACACTCATGACGAAAAACTATTCACTATTTGAATCCCTCGTTGACGGGGGACAGCGATGGCTTATTTCAGTTCTTTCTTTTTATTAGAAAACATCACACAGATACTAACACTTCATGCCTCACGGTGATTTGTTTTCAATGAGAATCAGATTTCTGTACCCATTACCGCATGCAATGAAACATTCAGTGTGTGATGACTAATATTCACTGACTGTTAACCATGTAGGCATTTAAAAGGTTAGTGTGCGTTTCAGGTCGTCCATCCCTGATTTTTCTCTTCTGTCCATTTTCACTTTGCATCATCTTCTGTTCTTCCTTTGCCTTTCTCCATCACCCATATTCTTGTTCTTTTATCCATTTCATTTCATGTTTTGTTTCTTCATCTTAAGCTCCATTATTCCACCACTCTGATGGAAATGAGACCTTTACAAAGAGTTTTTTTTTTTTTAAAGTAGCAAAGATGCATGATGGCACACTTAGTCATGCATGTATGTGCACATTTACGCCTGTTTGTAAGTGCTGATGTATGAGTTTGTGATATGAGCACCAATGAAGGTTTATGGTTCTTGTAGGAGTGCGGAGTGTGTCATCAGGACCAAACATCTATGGAGAGAGAGGGAGAGGCTCATTCCCTGAGCAACGCAGCTGAACCAGGAAACTCAGCAACAAACTGACAGAAGGCAACAAGAGCAAAAATAATTCAATTAACTTTCAATTCATTTCAGTTTATTTAGTACCAAGTAGTGGTGTGGTCTACATGTTTGTAGTGGGTATACCGCAGTTAGTTTTACGTTGGACATTGGACACCATTGAAGCCACAGAGTGCGAATGTCCAACGTGCAACATAAAACTAACTTTACTGTGGTCGGTCCATACTGTGCTTAGAATCCAAAGTACACCTGTTAGTACAATGTAATCGTCAATTTATTTAGATTTTTAAGCATATTGAATGTTTCCAAATTTCTCTGATGCTTACATTGGAGTAAATGAACAACAACATTTGTACAACTTTGTATTAAAAACGTTATAGAATTTATAAAACAGCAATAAAGCAAAACATGTTAAAGTATCAAGTACTAAGTACAGAAGTATTAATTATACAATAACTTGCTGGATAAGCAAATGTAATAAACAAGCTCTGCATAGCAATAGATTGTTAAAGAAGCATTTAACGGCTGTTTAACATGTCAATGGCACATGTCTAATGATATGTCATGCATCACTGGGCACTTTTAAGAGAGTATACTGAAATTCTTTGGCTTTTCTTCAATTCAATTCAATTAAATTCAAAAATACTTTATTAATCCCAAAGGGAAATTATTTGTTGTTGTAACTCGTCATCCTCATTTCATTAAGAGATGTTATAGATACTGATGGCTGTAGACAGGAAGGATCTCTTGTAAAGGTCCATCCCACAGTGGATCCTAAGAAACTGGCTGCAGATGCCGTCCGATCCGTCCACCCAGACTCGGCTGGCCTCTCGGTTCCCCCGGGCTGTAGGACCACCCGAATGCTGGGCAGAACTCCTCCCAGAGCGATGGCCACTCCTCCCAGCAGTCTGCCGAGCTCCTCGTCATTGCAGACAGACAACTGTAGGTGCTGAGGTACGATTCTGTCCTTCAGCAGTCATGAACCGTGTTTCCTGCTA